GGGGGGGGGGGTGACAGGCAATCCCTTCCATGGTTTCGGACTTATTATTCAAAGTTTACTTCACACTTGCCAAACTTTTGTGAAGTGGTCAAAAACATATTTATAGAAAACAGACTTCATTTAATTTATTTTGCCTTTAATTTAGTTTCAACTGTTTTTCAAGATTTAAAATTTTAACCCCGACTATTAACCGAAACGATTTAAATGTCGTACAAAATATTGAAAGGAAAGACTTTTAAACGTGTATAAGAAAACGTTTTCAACATATAAAAACTTTTCCAAATGCAAATGCAACCACAGGCGGTTTTTTGACTTATTTCATCAAATTTTCCTTCAAACTACTTTGTCACGAACGTTTGATAGAAGTTGCAACAAAGTTTCATTTCATAAAAAAGATTTTAAATTGATTCTAAACGTTCTAATCTACTGCTCGGTTCCATTTGAGTTCGTAAAAATCGTCAGTAGAGTAAAAAATAAAGTATACGGTACCGAAATCTGGCGCCGATGCAACCTAAGCAAAAGGCCAAGGGATAAACACTTGAAACAAAATGGCCCAAATCGAAAAAGAATACCAGCATGCTTTGCCTGTGGTCCTTCTATGGTTACATTCCAAGTCAGTAAAAATTGACCTCAAACTGTACTACAAAAAGATTGGAAATAACCAAGAACTATTTAATACAGCCTTTCTCACGCCGCCATTTTTGGGGTATACTGCCTTTTCCAAATCTGAGATTGTACGTAGTGAATATAAAGGGTTTGTATAATCATAATTGTGATTATTATTTTTGAAATGATTTAATTTAAAAGAATATAAAAACTATTTTTTAACAAAGCAATATCAACGAGAGTTCACTGTTCGATGTTTTTCATAAACACGACAACCAACATGGTCTCCAATTAAACACGAGACCACTTAACTAATTAAATCAAACCGGAAGTCCGTAATGTTTATCTTATATAAAGTTTACGAGTGTATACTTTCAACACTCCTGCTCACCCGTATAACTGTATGTTCATTTGTAACTAACTCCGAGCATCTTTCTAAGTTTGGTAACCATACTTAGTCCCTTAGTAAAAATGTCAGCGATCATTTCTTCAGTGCTACAGTATTCCAGTTTAACTGCAGCACTAGCAACATGTTCTCGAATAAAATGATACTTTATATCAATGTGTTTTGCACGTCCATGGTACTGTGCATTCTTTGCCATACAGATTGCTGCTTGATTATCTTCAAGTATCAACATTGGACCGGTTGGCTCGCTCTTTAGATCACTTAGAAGTTGTTGTAGCCAAACTGCTTCTTGGGTTGCACTTGCCAATGCCATGTATTCTGCTTCAGCAGTCGAGAGAGCCACACATGACTGTTTTTTGCTTCGCCAACTGATAGCTGCGTTGCTTATCTGGAAGACATATCCCGAAGTTGACTTTCTGTCATCAAGATCTCCAGCCCAGTCAGCGTCTGAATACCCAACACATGAAGTCGTTGTCTTGCTTCCATCATAAAGTAAACCCATATCTCGAGTTCCATTCAGATAACGCATCATACGTTTAACAGCAATCCAATGCTTCTCCGTTGGATCAGCGCTGAACCTTGCTACATCGCTCACGGCATATGCGATGTCTGGTCTTGTTTTCGTGAACGGCACACTGGTAGGTTAACTTGGCCCACTCGTTGACTGTCGTCTGCTGCCTTATTCAGTTTTGTCCCAGGTTTCGAACTTTCCATGCCAAATCTTTCCAACACACTCTTCGTGTGCGCTTCTTGGCCAATCCAAATTTCTTTTGAATCTGGTTTCTGGATAACTTTCACACCCAGGAAGTAGTGTAGTTGACCCATATCTTTCATTTGAAATTGCTCAGCGAGTGCTTGCTTCACTTCAATGATTTTCTGATCATTCTTTCCGGCCAGGAGAATATCATCAACATACACAGCAATAATGAATATCTCTCCACCTTCTTCCTTTACATAGATACATGGATCACCGGTGATTTGTACAAAACCCATATTCTTCAATTTTCTGTCGAGAACAGAATTCCAACAACGTGGAGACTGTTTAAGGCCATATATACTTCGACGTAACCTGCAGACCAGGTGTTCTTTTCCCTTCTCAATGAAACCTTCCGGTTGTTTCATGTAGACTTCTTCTTTGAGATCTCCATTCAGAAATGCTGTTGTGACGTCCATTTGATGAAGCTTTAAACCATGCTGTGCAGCTAACGCAATAACTGTTCGAACTGATTCAAGCCTAGCTACAGGTGAAAATGTTTCATCATAGTCGTCACCAAATGTTTGACTGAAACCTTGAGCTACGAGCCGGGTCTTGTGTGTTTCAACTGTTCCGTCCGCATCTGTTTTAACTCGAAATACTCACTTGCTGCCAACGGCTTTACGATTCTCGGGCAGTTCAACTAGGTTCCATTCTTGGTTAGTTTTCAGGGATTCCATTTCTTTTTCCATTGCTTTCACCCAATTTGCCTTTTATGGACTTGACAAAGCCTCTTCCACCGTCCTTGGCTTGTTTTTATCAGGATTTGCAGCTGTTGCCAACTCTCCATAGTAGGCAGGTGGTCTTCGATCTCTTTCTGACCTCCTCGTAACTTGAGGCTCAGGCTCTTCGTTTACAACAGGCTCTTCGACATCAATGGGCTCTTCAAACTCAAGTTCCACAAGTGTGTTTTGCTCTGGCTCTTGTACTTTCACAACTTCAGGTTCTTGTGAAGATTCATTAAACTGGACATCACGACTGTGAAAGACTCTTGCACGATTTGGATCATAGAGACGATAGCCCTTTGTTTCAGTGCCATAACCAAGAAGAATACATTTTCTGGCTTTCGAGTCAAGTTTCTTTCTTTCGTCCTTTGGCACATGAGCATACGCTTCGCATCCAAAACACCCGTAGATGCTTCACATTAGGTTTCTGACTTGTCCAGGCTTCAAAAGGAGTCTTTCCTTTGACTGCAACTGAGGGACTTCTGTTTCTAAGATAAACAGCAGTTGAGAGTGTTTCAGCCCAGAACTTGTGCGGGAGTTTAGCATCTGCTAACATGGATCTCACCGATTCCACCAGGGTCCGGTTCATCCTTTCAGCGACTCCATTTTGTTCCGGTGTCTTGGGCACAGTTAATTGGTGTGTTACCCCTTCTTTCTTCAGATAATTCTCAAACTCTGTCGAGGTGTACTCTCCCCCGTTGTCTGTGCGGAAGACTTTAACCTTTCTGCCAGAGGATTTCTCGACTAAGGCTTTCCACTCCAAGAATTTTCCAAAGACTTCGTCTTTGTGTTTCAAGACATAAACCCATACATAGTGAGTGTGATCATCGATAAATGTCAGAAAGTACTCAGTTCCACTAAGCGATTTTGCACTCATTTTACCACATACATCACTGTGTACCAAATCAAGGGGCATTTTAGCACGTTGACTTTCGTTGACTGGGAATTTACTTCGATGATGCTTTCCCTCTGCACAAGATTCACAGAAATCAATGTCCTTTGATTTGTCATAGTCATAGCCATCAACCAGGTTTTCTTTTGCCAACTTTTGGAGGTTTTGAACACCGAGATGTCCAAATCGCTTGTGCCAGGTGTCCTCTTTGCTTCCCATGCTTGAATATCCTACAGTAGGGTTTGCTTGATGACTGTTCGTGCAATTCAGGTAATACAGGTTTCCTACTCTTTTAGCAGTGGCAATCAGCTTTTGACTTTCATCAAGAATGTGACATCCATCTTCATTAAACTTCACAGTCTTTCCAGACTTTGTAGCTTTAGACACACTCACTAGGTTATACGATAAGCTTGGAACATAAAGAACATCTTGCAGTACACAACTCTTTCCCTTTCAGCCATTTGGAGACTCTATTTTTGTTTTAACGACTCCCCTCCAGTTGCTTTGACAACATGACCATCTCCAAGAGTAACATCTTCAGGCCTTTCCAAGTTATGCAATTCACAAACTGACTCACATCATTGCACATATGACAAGTTGCTCCAGAATCAATTATCCATGTATTTGTTCTCCCGTTTACAGAACTAAATGCATGATTCACCATCAATCGCACTTCATCACTATCTGAGCTGCTGTCTGTTCGTCTGGATTTGGCTGCAGTGTTAGCTTTATGTTTGTTGTCAATACCCTCATTAAACTCACTTTTGTCCCCATCATGTTTTAGACTATTCAGTTCTCGACAGTTTCGTTTAATGTGTCCAAACTTTCCACAATGGTAACATTTGGGACCCTTGCCTTTAGACTGTCTGTTCGCAAACATAGCTTTCATTTCATCATTACTCTCAGGCCCACTTCTCTCCTTCATTTTTCGTTCTTCGTGCAACAAACGTTCGGTCACAGTTTCTATTTTAGGAACTTCAACATTTGCCTCCAACGCCGTAACCAGTATATCATATGACTCAGGTAAACTTGCTAACAAATGAACAACTCGATCCTCTTCCGTTATAGGGTCATCGATGACCGCTAATCCATCAAATATCTCAGTCATTTCTTTGATGTGTTTCTGAATTGATTCACCGTCTTTTAACCGCAATGAATAGAGTTTACGACGTAGTGCCAACTTATTTGCCCACGTTTTCTTTTGGAATTGATTTGTCAATTTCTCCCAAACCACAGCAGGGTCCTGTGGATCTCCAAGGAGATACAACAACGACAGATCGACCGACAGAACAATTGTTGCCAAGGCACGATCTCTCCTCGCAACAAACTTTGCTAAATCTTCGGCTTTATCTGGACTTGGCGACACTTCAGTTTTGGCCACAATTCCCCACACACCATCTCTCATAAGTGCCATTCGACATTGAACTTTCCAAGTGGGGGAATTTTTGCCATTCAACGGAATTATACTCGTTGTTTTCACGTCCAAACCTGACGCCATATTTACAATACCAAATATATTTCCAACTTTCGATCACGAAAAACTTTGTTTTACCTCTTTATTTTACTTATTTTGCTTCGTTGTTTACCTCCTATGCATACGTCCCTGGGCCCATAACCTTTTGAAATGATTTATTTTAAAATAATATAAAAACTATTTGTTAACAAAGCAATATCAACGAGAGTTCACTGTTCGATGTTTTTCATAAACCCGACAAAACCAACATGGTCTCCAATTAAACATGTGACCACTTAACTAATAAAACAAATCGGAAGTCCGTAATGTTTATCTTATATAAAGTTTACGAGTATATACTTTCAACAAATTGAACCCACGGCTCTGCAATTCCGGTGCAGCGCTCTAACCAACTGAGCTACAGAGGTCAGCTGTTGAGCTGTAACCGTAAGTTCATGTATATATAGGTAATAGGGTGTGTGGGTTGTGATAAGGTGGACTTGAATAACTTAGATTCTTAACATAATTAACATATGCTATGTTAATTAACAGTAGCTAATTAACATTATTTACAGTGGCAGCACCAGACTAAAATGAGTGTGGGAGCAATTCGATGGCAAAGAAATGTTGTGGGGGGGGGGCAATATTTTTAGCAGCATTTTAACGTCATCTTGAACATTTTCATGTGTCTGTCAACATTTTCTTTGTCCATGCCGCAAATCACCAATTAATATTTTGTCCACCGATCAGCAGAGGAAACTCAAGAAGCAGTGATGCAAATAGTTGATGACTTAATGGAAATTGAGGCATTTAAGCAACATCCTGACAGAGATGGGCATCATTCATTTCAAGATTTTCCAGAAAGTCTTGTTAATCTTGACTACAGAGACTATCATTCTTGGATGACAGATAAAATAAAACTGTGGGGATCTATATTTGATTGGATAGGCAAACAGTAGTGACTGACTCTTAATACTGTATTACAGTGTATGTACTGTAAGTGGGGCCACTAATGCCACTTAGATAACAACCAGAGCCTCTGAACTGTGCAAAGACCCTGCATGGGTACGATGTTGTTTAGATAACACTAACCAATCACATTGCAGAACAAAAATATATATCTAATCAAACTAAAGCTCGTCCAGTCAAAAGAAAGCATGGAGTTCGCTTCAGGAAGCCGGTAACTGCAGTGTTTACTTTTCAAGTCTATTATTACTGTTTGACATTTGTTCAAATTGTTTTTGGCCTAATGCTGATTGGCGAATGCGCTGTTTGTTGATTTTTTCTATTTTTGTCCTGCAATGTGATTGGTTAGTGTTCTCTAAGTTAGCCTGCGAACAGGCTCTCTTTGACCTCACTTACTGTAGATGCACTGTTACATTAGTATAATTTCAGTTGCATAAAGACTTTATGAAATACAGGTAAATCAGTTTTAGAATTTACCTATTGTCCTTAGTACTCCATTGTGTAATTTCTTCCTGAAAACATTTAGTACATGTCACTCTCAGCATCACACAAACTGTCTGAAAAATGTTCATACTCGTATGGTCTGTGTGATTCAACAACTGGAATTGATGTTTCACTCTTGCAGTCTAACCCAACCAAATCTATCATTGTGTCAAGGTTTGTAATGTCTCCAAAAATATAATTGAAAACTTCTAAAATCTTCATAGCATGATATACACAGAAAACTGGAAAGTAATCTGTTACATCTTTGATTGTAAAGATCTTGTGTGCATGTTGAGATAGACCATTCACAATTTGCTGTTTATATTCAACTAGATTATCTTGTGCAAAGACATTGAGTTCTACCATCATCATATCAATACACTCTTCAAGGGCACTCTTTAGGTCATCCTTATCAGTGTCAGATACTGGTCTACTTACTGTTGTTTCTTCAGTTTCATTGCTTGGATCTTGCTCAAACTTTGGTGGGGTAGCCACACACTTTGTATTTGAGCATTTGCAAGTCATTGCGCAATTTTTGCAACATGAATGTGGAGGATGGCTTGGTGCAATACCCTTATCAAATATATTATATGCAGCTACTCTGTAGCATCCTGTAGAATTGACAAAATCTTTAACGGCCAATTCACAATGACTGAGTTGCTGCCCATAAAAATATGTGTTACCACGTCAGCAGTTAGTCCATCTCTTCCTGCATGGCCTGATTTTTGGTGGTAGTCGAGCAAATCCCTTGGCGGCCCCCAGTGGACAATGTATCTAACATCAGGAAAGTTAACTCCCACACTTAATGCCGTTGTAGTAACTGCAATTCTTTTCCCCCCATCACCTTTAAAAGACTGTACGATTCTGTCCTTGTACTTTTGTGGTGTCAACGAATAATATATGCCAATTAGGCAGTTCTCTGGTACTTGACAGTCTTGAGGGTCATAAGCATATTTTCCTAATTTCTGTAACAAAAAATTAGTAACCACAGAAATGTCAGTTAAAGTTCCATTGCAAAATATTAATGTTTTGGTGCAATGTATTCCATTTTCTTTTACCAATTCAATAAGCCATGTCAATCCATTAAGCATATCAAGCCTGCCACATTTAATGACAGACAATCATAGATTTGGTCGATTCAGGGAAACTTTAATTACCACTGGATTGCAAAGTGACAAATGTGTGATGATGGCTCTTTGTGTCATTCCATCAGCAGTTCCAGTTAAAGCAACAAAAGGAGTTCCTAGGAAATAATACACATGTACAGTATTTGTAAGATTTTCCAAAAGAACAAAGAGATTAATTCAAATATTGGGTCTCCCCTTGATTAAAATAATCTGGCATTTATAGACACAGTAAAGTAAAAAGTAAGGGCACCCGGCCTCGACACTTAACCCACTACATCCCCATTGACGACTAAAATTGTCTGGCGGTAGACAAGTATAAAAAAGTAGGGAGAGCACTGGGCGCATTGCAGCTCGATGGGTTAATTTAGAATCATCCAAATAAAATGAACAAAGAATAAAACAGAAAATAAAATATTATGTAAATATAGTTTTATAATATATATTACCTTCTTTACAAAATGATCTAATTGTTGCAATTCGTCCAAAAGCTTCATGAAATGCACTCTTTCTATTTCTGCAAATAGATTAGGACATTTATACATTTAATAAACGAACGATACAATAGATTTAGACATTACATTTTATAGGCCACGCCAAATTATAAAGACTTTTTTATCAATAAAAATAAAATGTGCATGTTGAATTTGTATTTACCTTTCTCCAGTGCACGTCTCAATAACGTGAGACAAACGCAACCAAACTATTATGCAAATGGCAACTTGTATCTTTTAAAGCGTCGAGAAAACACTTGTTGAGAACGTTTTCGGCCGATCCAAATATCAATTGAATCTTCCCCGATTTTATGTCATCTATGTTCTGTTTGTCACTAAGGCAAACCGAGCTAATACCAAGATCCTTAGCTTCTTCAATTTGGTCCCTTATAATGCTAATTAGAGGACAAATGATGATGGCTATAGTGGGTTGTTTTCTTTTTTTCTCCTCGACAAGGACTGAAAGTTGGAATATTAAACTTTTGCTGTAGCCTGTCGGTAATACAGCAAGAACATCGTTTCCATCTAGAATACTATTTAGAGCGTTTGACTGCCCATCCTTTAACTTTAAACAAAAATTTAGTTTTCTAGACAACTCGTCTAATACATTTTTTATCTCTATAGAACGACTTTCTATGCTTAATTGTGTAAACATCTTGAATCTATTGTTGTGTTTAATATTGTGTAAATTGTATTGCCTTTTATGGCAGTATAATATAGTTAATTAACCAACTACTGGGTTTCAACCAATGGGAACCCTGCGTCATTCTAAGCAACGCACAGACGCGTTTTTATTAGCTAGGCCAGCAGGCTCTCAAATTTGAAAGAGAGTTCAAAGAGAGCCTGTTCGCAGGCTAACTTCGATTGGGAACACGCTGTGTGCATTGGCAGCTGATGTATATGAGTCGCACAATTCTTTCATATAAATCAGCAAATATTGCTTCTTTGATGGGCAGCCCACAGCTTGGTCGATTTGAAGACATTCATTATTCCATTCTGAGTTGACATGTCCTTCCATGTCAGGAAATAAGATTGCCTAACAAAACAGCTGATATTATAGGTAAGTCCAAAATAAATGGCATATATTAAGAATTATACAAACTTTTCCTGTATAAAAACAGTAGTAAAATACAGATATGAATAACTAAATTTGAGCTTGCTACCCCTCCCCCCCCCCCTTTATTCCCATTCCCTTGTTAGGGCAATCTCGTTCTCCGAGCATGCCCGTTCGCGGGTTAAGGGTTGGCATAGCTCTGGCGAGAAATCTAATTATTCACATTGCATTTACAATGTGCCTTGCACGCATGCTTGGCAATTGTTGCAAAATATAAATGAAGTATTTAATTTCTCATCGTAAATTTGATACTTTTTACACGGTATAATTGATCGAAAACAACTAAAAATTCCGACTTAATATGTACGCAAGCTCTAAAAGTAAAAAAGTGCCCTTTTCTGGGCTGAATACATTCGATTCAATTTTGCTGGAAAGAAAGTGCCCTTTTTGCAGTTGTACTAAAGAGTCTGTAAAGGCCATTTCCGACGTTATAGAGACTCCACATTTTCAAAAATTTTTGTTCGGCTCATGAAAGACATGAAATCGTTTGATTATGGTCACATACAAAATTGCCCCTTTTGGCCAATGCCCATCCACTTTCAAAATGCTTCCACAGCCTCTTGGCATAGGAAACTTGTGCATCCATAGCTAGCTCAGTTCCAAGGTTAATTTGTTTTAATTATCAAATTCTAGTTGTAGAAGGGATACCATGAATGTGGTACACAAACAATTATACAAAATAGTTATACAAATACAATTTATAAAATTAGTATGGCCAATAGGAAACCTCAACTCATCCCAAATTTGGAAACTTAACTACATGCCTCCCTTATGTAATTTTAAGCTAAAGAATAATTACTTACTTTTTCCCGGTGTTTTCTGTCCATTCATCATTTTCGGATACACGCACAGATACATCAAGTAAGAAGCCATCTGCACAGGTTGCATTTGCCTTACTGGCCACATACCCCTGTACACTTCACTGAAAAAATTGTAAGTGGGCAAAACGTTTGCCCATTAAGGTAACCTTTCACCACCGGATTCAAAATATTTTTTACGTTGTGCAGGAGATTGGCTTACGTTGAAAACAGACAACGTATCTTCAATACTTTCAACATTAGTTGAAACAGTATCTTCAATATCTAGTTCCAAATTGTCAAGCTCCATCGTCGTCTATGTGCCTTCGACTAATGAACAAGAGTCTATGATTCATCCCACTTTGGCCCAGCATATAAAAAATCCTATCTTGGTTTTCAAATTGAAGAAATAACTGATGTTTCTGAATTGGGGTGGCTATTCCGGCCCTTGGCACGCCTTAGGAAATACTTCGGCCCAGTTCATGAAAGTGCATGTGAGCTATTCAGCAGTCACGCAACATCGGTTAGCTGTTGTTAATGCTTTCCAAAAGTAGCATTGTATAATTCTATTAAAGTTGAAAAATAGTTGGAACACTCATCAAACCTTTTCATGATCAGAGCTTGAAATATCCCTGGTAACAATGTGCATGTGGCGGCAAATTCTTATCTGCATGGCAACTCCCATGCTGCTCGTTTGACCAGGGGTTTAATCAGCAAAATTCAGTACTCGTCGGCGAATTATAATGGATGGTCGGCGCTTACATAGCCCCTGACAGCAGATCCAATAATGATAACAAAATTGAAAATACCCTTATGATAATTTCCATGCACATAAAATTGTGTTGTGCTTGGATCTCAAGGCCCCACTTCATCAACTCAATGTTGAAGCTTTGAGGGGGGGGGGGCAATTATGCTCACTTTGCATGACATAATAATGCGAGGAATATTCTAAAGTGTTAGGACCAACATTTTGTGCATATGAAGTACACAGCTAAACGTTACTGTACATAATATGTTTTAAACTGAGGTTTTGGAGCCTTATTTTCATTACGAATGCCTTAGTCACAAAATAAATACAAAACAAAGACAAAAAACATTTACTTTGAATACTTTGTTGTGGCTTAGGCATGTTTATAAAACAATTAGACCAGTTTATGCTTCAATATTACTTTTAAAGCGGAAAATATCGTGAAACAACAAAAATGCCGAGAACTTTGGTATATATTTCAGTGTAATTCCCGGGGGCGTCAACAGACTATGCAACTAGGTTTAGACTGTGACATCAGGAAGTTTCCTATCCAGTTATTTTACAATCCATGGTTACAGATAGATATATACATAATAATGTTCTTTTCAGGAATACTTTTTGTTTTTCTCAATAACATGGTATATAAGCGTGCAATAGGTGCCTATTTCAAAACAACATAAAAATGGATGAAGTCTCAAATACACATAAGCTTAAGATTCGCAGTTGTTATTATATTCATCATTCAAAATTAATTTTTGCCAAAATTCCTGACCAAGCTGCAAGGACGATTCTTATAATAGCCCTCCAGTTATAAAGCAAAGCCAACTGTCATCGCTCTAATATGTGCAAATTTTATAAATGCAGAAAATGTCTTTACGTCAATCGTCATTCATATGTGATATGATTTACCTATACTTCCCTTATTTTAATACTATATAATTAAACTTGATAATTTTTATAAGGCGGTTAGCTATTATCATCATCATGTTTCAGTTTAACTGTTCATACATCAAATCTTTTCCTTTTACCATTTCAAATACTCTTAAATCTACAAATATTACCTTCATGCATGCAGGCTCTTAAAATCATAATATACTTACAATTCTCGGTATCCAAGGCTTGAGGCAACAAGTAGGGAAGTACTTTGTTCTGAATGGGTGGCCTTTATACTGTAATAGAACATGAGAAAAGTGACGCTAGCATACTATAATAGCTCTTATACTAGCCTGTTAATGATTTTTATTCTTGTTTTGAAGTTTGTAACTACATAAACTATTTTTATAGCACTAGTGGCTTACCAGCTCAGATAAACAAGAGAATGATTGTGCATATATTAGTGTGAATAGCAGTTTCCTAATTTAGTTTAGCCTATAAAGCAAGAATTCCGGCGTTATACCAAGATACACCAAGTATGATCAATTTGTGTATGCTGCAAAACATTGTTGAACATGTTGCTATATTCATCCATACATTGTTTGGAGAGATGCGATCCCAAGCGGGTTAGGTTAAAATGCAGAAGCGGAACGGAAGGGCTTTATATATATATATGGGATCCACTCTTCCAGCGTGAAGATATATTTAAGCAATTTCAGTTAACCTGCCCGGAACATAAAAATATATGTTTGTTACCTAAACAATGGACTGACGGATCAACAAATGCATTGAACCCTCACGTAATACTGGACAACCAGGGACCCGGCCTACAAGACAAGAAATTACTATTGCCACTGAGGACGACATTACATACGCCGCACAAATGGAGATTTATTGGTAGTAATTCACATGTTTGTACAGGTGTATTTAAACTTACACACAAATACGCTTTCACCCTAGACTTTGCACATTGACTGAGAGATTTTGTGTCGAATGGTGTATCGTTTAATTTTTTGCAAGCAAATGATATTGAAAGACAACTGCAGGATTTCACAGAGAGGAAAGAATGGTACAATTGCCATAGAATTTTGTGGGCAAAGATTTGTTCATCCTACTGAAGACGTCATCACGGACGAATCTTCAGAAGAAAATTGGAGCAAATACAAGCAGAAAATTATTGGATTGTGCCCAAGTGATGATTTACTTGTGACATTTTCATTAAGGATTTTGAGGATCGAAAGTCAAAGTACGAGGACGCAATGAGGGCTACCACAGAGACAGCCTTAATGGCAGATCATACTTTTAAGGTATGCTAAAGTTTTTATTGCAGTATCTCGTGCATCCTACAAAAGGTCATATATATGACGGTAATGTATACAGTGTACCGATACTCAAAATAACACACTAATGATAATGCTAACGATCCACATAGACGAATTGGTGAATATGTTCGAAAAACGAATTTTGGCAATATAATCTGTGTGCGAAAAAACATTTACAGCAAAAATTTTTCCCTAACCAATCACATTAACTTTGTCAAAATTTGTTTTTCACTTGGCTTGCATATAATATCGTATTCTATCCAGACTTTACATTATTCACATATAGTAGGAGAAAACATATGGAGTAGTAATAGTAAAGTGTGTACTAAAAAAAAAAGGGGGTGTGTGAACCTACTTGATTTAACTGGAGCTTTGAATGGAAAGAGAAAGTAACGCGGGCGTCAATGGTCGTCGCCGCTGACTGTACGGACGGGGGGGAAAATCTGAAGGGGGCGTTCCCATTTTTGGAGAAAGTTTGTGACGCGTGTGCGTGATTGACAGCCGTCGTGTGTGCGTGCGCTATTGCGCATGCGTCGGGGAGCTCCGAACCCAAAGCCTCGGTTGACCGAAGTGGCGTTCGTTCGAATTTGCTGCCGTTTTTCAAAGTGCGTCGCGTGACGTCATCGGTGTTTTCCCGTGTGTTTCCACTTCGCGCGTGTGTTTTTAATGCTTCCACTACGAATGTCGGTGTTTTTCGATGTAAGATTTAATAAAATTATTAGTCGGGTATTATCCGGTAAAAAATTGTCAAATAATACCCGACTACCGATTTTATTAAAAATAATTAAGTTATTGGGGTGACGTCATTGGTGTTTTCCACTTTGCAAGTGTGTTTTTAATGTTTCCACTACGAATATTGGTGTTTTTTCTTTTCTGTCCTTCCACTTGTGAAATTAGGGTAGTACCATTCACACTGTTGCAAATTTCAAGAAAAACATGCAACAATTGAGTGGTAACACCCTTGTCACCTTTTTTTCCTACTGTGTTTTCACAATAAATAGAGTATGTAAAAATAAAGAGAATCACCGTGGCGATAGGTTTTAATAGTCTATCACCCCCGATGATCCTTTTCATTAACGAATTTATAATAGACGATAATTTCCTTCTAGCGTAAAACACGAAGCAAAAGATCGTCTAGTATAAAAAATATATTCTTCGTTTTTAGCATTCCTGTTTTTCTTCTTGCTTTCTTTACCCTGGAGATACATGAAAATTTGAAAGCTATTCGACCATTGCAAATCGCAAAGGATTTGTTATGATCAAACGGTTTGCAAAGTAATCACAAAACAATTTTATTTATTTTCTTTCTTCTTTCTTGTTTTTTTCTTTTTTCTTCTTTCTTGTTTCTTTTATTTATAATCACCCTGGTGATACGTTTGTTAAATATTAACAAATGTTTCAACAGGGTGGTTACAAAACATATTTTTTCTACTGCGCATGCACAAATACATATTGCGTAAAACCGTAATAACGGTATGCGTATAGTGTTAGGTGGTTAAAACCCAAATTAATTTAATGTTATATGTCTGCCAACTTAGCACACTGTTAATCGTAGGTGGTGTGGCGGAAATGGATACTCGTTAGGGAGTCAACCGGGAATAGAGGTATTCCACCTTCGCATTAGAAGGGGTTGGCACAAAGTCCTAAGTCAATGGGGGTTCGAGTCCCCCCTAAGTTGTTGCGATTAGCATGTGTGTTGAGTGTCAGACAAAATATATTTTTCCTTGATGGCTGGAGAGGACGCATTCAAGTTGGCGTTGATGATATTTATACATCTTCTTATTATACCCTTCTTGGTTTTTTTGGTTATTATTATTATACGTTATGGCTGAGGTAAAAAATATATTTTCCTATATATTTTTCCTATATATTTCTAAAAAAATTCTACAAATTTTCTTTTTTTAGAGTACGGGTTGCAATTGTTATCATCCTGCGGAGTTGGTTAGTGTCACGGAATACGGTTCGAAGATAAAGGTTTATCGTTATAAAAGAAAGGTGAAAAAATTATTTTTAAAAATCTCATCAACTCATCGTTTGATGTTCAATCCATGCGTATATTTCTGCGTAAGGTTTTCTTTTACCATCCGGTCGCATTTGAAGGATCTTTATAGTATACAGCTTTTCGGGAGTAAACTTTCGAAGAATGGTATAATTTTCTATACCCACAGCGTCGACATAATCAACACATGCCTCGGAGAGAAGTTGATGAAAATACTTGCCAGCTTTTTCCCAGTTTTCGTTGATAAATTTATCAGCGTTTTTGCCAAAATGGGTCAATGACATACAGTTATGGTTTTCTTTTAGACATTGTTTGGTTGTCAAATGTGATAAGATATGAATGAATAAATCTTCTTGTTTTTCCCTTGT